AGAGAGCGAGAGAGAGAGAGAGAAAGAGAGAGAGAGAGAGAGAGAGAGAGAGAGAGAGAGAGAGAGATTTCATTAAGATGTCTTGAGTACCATGTTGGACAGGTGTTATGCGGCATAAAACTGCTATTGTAAGCATTCACAGATCGCAGTTGCACTGTATTGTTGGAAGATATTCATGTTGGTGAGATTTTTATGATTGGATAGAAGCTGCTTGTAAAATATTGACCGGAGATGTGTTACAGGTTGTATATGCATGGCGCTGTGAGTTTCTCTGTGTATCGAATAACTGATGAAATTTTTGTACAGGATTTTTTGAGAAAAAAATTAAGTTGTTAATTGGTAAGTTTTCTCGTTTTTATTATGTGCCGTTATTATGTTTACTCGCTCTTGATATCTTGTATCGCACCAAGTCGCAGTAATGGTTATGAAGTTAGGCACACACACGCGCGCATACACACGCATGGACTCACACGCGCTTGCGTATATTTTTTAATTAATTGTGTTTTTAACTAGTACTTTCTTTACGCAAACGGCTTCTTTACACAGGCTGTGCAATCGTAACGCAGGATAATACGTGAACAGCAAATGTCCATCTATGAAAAGTTTTTCCTTTACTCGCGAACACGCTAGTTTCCAAGCAGGATTGTTAACGGCCCTGTTTTTCAGTCGTTTAAGTTAGCTTGATACGTCGATGGCAAGAATTCACTATAGGTCCCCGAAGCAATTCACTGATAACGAACAACTTCATATTACGTGTAGTACTTTTAGCGCATGAATAGCACGTTGAGCAACACCACACAACAATTCGACATGTGTTTAATAATTCACAATATTAATCTAATTGTTATATTTCTAATTCAGTCTTATGTAGATAAACAGTATCGCTTATAAACTGCCCATAACGCAATCGTAGTGCAACAAGATAGTTAACCCTGTAGTAACTTAACAACTTAACAACTTAACAAACATTTAAACCTAAAAACGATACTATGTGCATATACAATTTTAGAGTTAATCTTTGTGACAGTTTCACTACTAAAAATAACCTCACATTCCAAATACATTATCAAAAAAAGAAATTGCAAAACTATACATTGAATTATCACAAGTTACGCTTAGCTACCAATAACGCGTAACATGTCGATATCAAACGAGACGGAATATATTTCGTGTTCATTGCTGATACATGCTCTAGCTATAGGAGTTTGCAGAGTTATGTATGCAATCTTTAGTAGTCACAATTACTCACAATCGTGCCAAAGGACAAACACCGCACTCACAGGACTACTCAACAGGGCAAAACACAAGTACAGTTGTACAGGTGGCAAAATTGTCGTTTGTTACATCTCATCAAGAGCAGATAAAGAAGGATCTTCTTTATCTGCTCTTGATCTCATGGATCTATATATATATATATATATAAATTGTCGTTTGTTACATCTCATCAAGAGCAGATAAAGAAGGATCTTCTTTATCTGCTCTTGATCTCATGGATCTATATATATATAT